CCAGGAGCAAAGCCAGGACCACAGCTGTCAGACATTCACATTGGTCAAGTAATTCCAGAAGCCATAAATTTTAATTTGTTATGTATTGGGGCATTTTATGATCAGAGCACAACTTAAGAGGGTCAGTTCTCTCCTCCCTCTGCGTGTGTCCCAGGGGATCAAACTCAGGCCCTCAGATAGCAGATGCCTTTATGTGCTGAACCCTTTGCTAGCCCAAACCGTGGGCTATTTAATTGTTATTGTCATTTTGAGATGAAATCTCCCAAATTTAACTATACTTAGAGAGTAAAATAAGAGTACCTAAGCAAAAATGTTACCTGTGAGCACTTCCTGGGCATGACGCCAAGCCACAGGTATAGGCACCCAGCTCAGAATTCTATCTTTAACTGTGGTCATATGTGTGTCTTAATTTAGTCTCCTTTTGGGATCTGGGGTGTCTGGGGAAATGAGGGCTTCTGAGTACCTGTTTTCTTGGAGCAGCCAGGATGACTAGAGAGCCCATTTGGCTCCCTGGGGACTCCCTCCTGCTCAGAAGGTGAGCTCTGTGCCACACCCCAGAATGCCTCACCAGCATCTTCCCACATCTAGATGGTGCTTAGATTTCATTTGACAAACAGCAGAAGGTTAGCAGTTGAGAGGAGCAGCCAGAGATGTGTGAACAACCTTGGTCTGTGCTTTCTATAGCATGTACACCTTGAGAAAATCAGCCCTCATTTCCCAGCAGTCTGACATCCAACCAGCAGACAAAGCCCTGACAGCCCTAAGCTAGTCCCTTCAGACGTCTCTGTTTGAAGGTTTGTGCTGCTCCTGTGAGTTCAGATGGACTTACTCTCTGGCAATCGACGTTTCTCTCCAAGGCCTGTTTCCGTAGACATTGCTAAAGACTTGGGAATCCTTCAAGAAAGCTGCATTAGAAGGTTATAGGACTGTGACATGTAGACCCACCCTCCAGCAAGGATGTCTAGCCACCAGGTCAAATGGAGCTGAAGAAAGCTGTGAATGCAGCTGAACACAAAATTACTTAAGCCTTTTCTTTTTGCAGTTGTATTTATCTATTGTAACATGATGTCCCATTCACAAGTGCAAACTTTGTAGGTGACAGCATCAAAAGTTTGGATGCCTGTTAGTCTCATTTCTGTCACTGTGATAAAATGCCCTGGCAGAAAGCAACTTCAAGGAGAAAGGGTTTATTTCAGGTCACAACTCCAGGCTACAGCCCATCCAAGCAGAGGAGTCAGGACAGGAACTTGAAGCAGCTAGACACACTGTATCCACAGTCAAGAGCAGAGAGAATTGCTCTGCCAGTCCTTCCTATTCTGCCCACTGCATGTCCTCTTACCGCACAGTATGGGGCCCGTAGCCAGGGAATGGAGCCACCCACTTTCAGGGTGGCCCTTTCCACATCAATTAGGACAGGCCACTGCTCACTGTAACTACCTTCTGAGGTGATTGCAAAGTGTGTGAAATTGGTGATTGAAAGCTGACCGTCACAGCACCCTCCTAGAGAATGGACAGAGGAAACATTGGCTGTGGTGTTGAACATTATCAACATGGACCAAAGATGGACAAGTTCATTTTTAGTTTCTTAGGTGTTTGGGCCTTGTGGGACTAAAGCCAGCATAAAAGGCATGTAGGCAGAATCATCGTGACATGTTGCTAATTGGCAGGAGTCTCTATAGGCTGGATAGGGTGAGAGGGCCTGGAAAACAAAGGAGGAGCCTCTCCCCTCACTTCCTGATGCATAGAACCTATTTTTGTTTTTATTTTGTTGTTCTGAGAAGGATCCTCTTAGCCCAGGCTGGCCTGGAGCTAGCTTCCTGCCACCCTGTCTCTACCTCTCCAGTACTGTGGTTCTCAGTGAGCTCCACCACACACCAACATTCTTGACCTGCTCTTTTTCCATCCTGTTAGCTGTGTTCCACAGCTTCTGTCTTCAGGGGAGACTCTGGGGTAGCATGTGCTGGCTCTTCGGTAGATATCGTCTAGACGGGTTTATGTGTGGCATCAGGGTGCCCGGAGCTAAAAAATAGTGAGTACCAGAGCTGCTGGGAATGGTGCCAGCAGAGGAGCAGCCAGCGGGCTTAAAGCAGGGCCCAGGGAATAGACTCAGAACTAGAACCCTGAGTCTCACTGCCCTCCCTCATTCATGTCCCTGCCCTGCTCTTCTTAATTGAGCCTTGCTCTTGAGACCCTGGAGTCAGTGGACCCAGGAGAACAGCCTGGCGGAGGGGTTATATCAGGAACGTGGCTGGCACAGGCTGCCAAAGCCCCAGCTACGTTCCTTGTGGAGGAAGGATGCTGCCTCTGTGCTGAGGCAGCTTCAGGGTGGCCTCAGAGGAGGCATGTGAAGAACCCCAGCAGCTGTACATCCTGTCTCCTTGGTAACAGTGGCCCCTCCCCAGCTGCTAGGAGGAGTGGGGCAAGAGCACAGTCTTGTAATTCATGGCACTGTCACCCAGACATGGGCCTCAGAATATTCCTGGTCCTTTCCAGGGTGTTAAGACATTCCTGTGCCTTCAGAATATAACAGCTGGGGGATGCTGGCCCTGAGGCTTTGACCAGAGCCCCACCCCTCACATACTCGAGCACACACACACACACACACACACACACACACACACACACACACACACACACACACACACACACACAGACGCACGCACGCACGCACGCACGCACGCACGCACGCACGCATGCACCCATCCAAGCAGCTGGTCCAAACATCTGTGGGAATGAAGAGCTTGGCTTGCAGTTGTGGTTATGTCTCTAGTTTGTGTTTAGAGTTCTTCAAGGTCCACTCACTCACATAACCTGGATATCTAGACACCGGGGACCAGGTGGCCTGGGACTCTGCATTTTGGACACTGTCAGGCCTGCTTCTCTGGCCCCTGGACCTCACTGTGAGGAGGTCTGTGGCCTTCAGTTCTTTCCCTTTGTTGTCAATTGTGGATTTTGGTCTGGACTCGCATGGGTGATTTCCTTTATAACATTCAAACCATACTCAGTTCAGACAACAGTAAAGAATAGGTGTTCTGTTCTGGTTCTGCTTTTAATGTAGAGGCGTCCTTGTGTTGGTTAATATGGACTGTCAACTTGAATGGTCATAGAATCGCCAGGGAGATGTGTCCATGACTGGGTTTAGTTGAGGTGAACAGAACAGACCGTCAATGTGAGTGGCACTATTCCCTGAGCTGGGGCCACAGACCACACCAATCTGGAGGACCCAGTTGAGTACCAGCGCTTGTGGGGCTGGACTTCCTGGCTGTAGTTACAATGTGACCAATGGACTGTACCCTCAAACTGTGAGCCAAGCACGAACTTCTTCCCTTAAGTGGCTTTCCTCGGGTGTTTAGTCATAGCACTGAGGAAAATAACCAGTGCATACTTCATTTAGCATGCTTTGGTGTTCTTTTCTATGCTGCCTCTAGCAAAGGACTCTAACTTGCCTCTGTGTTTGTGTGTGAGTGTGTGTGTGTGTGTTGTGTGTGTGTGTGGCTGTGTGTGTGTGTGTGTGTGTGTGAGAGAGAGAGAGAGAGAGAGAGAGAGAGAGTACATGTGTGTGTGTGTGTGAGAGAGAGAGAGAGAGAGAGAGAGAGAAAGAGAGAGAGAGAGAGAGAGAGAGAGAGAGAGAGAGAGAGTTCACATGGCTATGCAAGTTCATGAGAACGCATATTCATCCACCAAAATCAGAAGCCTGGTTTTTTTAAAGCTTGATTTTCCAGGAGAAAATCTGAGAGTTGGCCAGACTTGGGAACTACTAATGAGCTACTCACTTAACAGTCCCACCCCATGAAATACCATCCACTGAAAGAGTTTAGAACATACTGGGTTCTGAACCAAAACAACAAGAAAAATTAAAAATTAGGAAACCAGTAGCCGGCCATGGTGGGGCATGCCTTCTTTGTGAGTTTACATAGCTGGTCTACATAGTGAGTTCCTGGACAGCCAGGGCTATGTAGAGAGACCTTGTCTTTGAACAAAGGGGAAAAAAAGCCAGGATTTCCAGAGATCCACATGTCTGTCTAACAGACTCATTCACAGGCTGTGGTCATGATTAGCTGAGCCTTAGGGGCAAAAAGAAGCACCTAATTATATTTTTGAGTCCAAAATTGGTGTGACCAAGAATGTATTTTGATGTTAAGCAACTGACTCAAGTAGTTAAGCCTACTACAGAAGCATCTTTCCTCACTGTGTCTGAGCTCTGAAGCCACTGGGGTGAGTTTCCTGTTCTGCAGAATCTTTACAAGGTCAGGAGTCGGGGCTTCCACCTCCACCATGGCGCCTCTGGAGATTTAGTACGTGCTGGTCATTAGGGATAGCCGCCCTGTGAACAATGTCCCCTGGTACCAGACAGTTGACTCCCAGTGGGTGAGCCTGTGTGCACAGGTCTGTGCCACCAGCCTCCCGTGGTATCCCTTTTGTCCTGTGGTGGCTCTTTTTCTGGACTCACTGTCTTTAGAGATTGTAGTAGGGCCAGTCATCTTTGTAACAGTTTCGTGGGCAGTTGTCGGCAGCCTTCCTTCACCGTTGCTCAATGGGGCCCCGTTGGGGTCCACGGCACCCTTTTCTTCCTCATTATCTTGTGCTGTACGGTGCGTCCTTTGATTTGCCACATAAGCAGGATGACAGCAGAGCACAAAGGTCAGGTGCGTGTGCCAGCGTGAAGCCCCATAGACGAGGTCGTTCTGGCTTCTGTGGTCTGCAGTCCGTCGTGGTGTTCACCTGACTTGTTTATTCCTAGGGAATGTCACTAGTGCGTCTGGGTCTCAGATGGCAAGCGGCATCAGCCTGGTCTCCTTCAACAGCCGACCCGATGGCATGCACCAGCGCTCCTACTCAGTCTCCAGTGCCGACCAGTGGAGTGACGCTACAGTCATTGCAAACTCAGCCATCAGCAGTGGTAAGAGGGGGCACAGACCGCGGCCGTCTCCAGGTCCTCTGTGAAAGCCAGGGGCTGGGCTCAATGCCCAGGGCATCCATGCTCCACGGGGAGCATGGTGCCATGGGGCTGCTGTGACAGTGGCACACATGTCTGACCAAGCACTTTGTCCTTGACCTCCTGTCTCATCCACATCCCATCATGCATCTGTTCTCTCTGGTCAGGATGTAGAGCTTGAACCCTCTTCACTGGTCAGATTTGGAAGTTGAGGCTGTGGATGGGATGAGTGTCTTACCTGTAGTTATACAGCAGGGGTATAGTGAAGTTGAGAAGGGGTGTCAGATGTTTCCTGCCAGTCTTCTGCCCTTCATGGATGGCTAGCATCTCACCATTTGCACATAGTTTGTACTTACTGTTCAGTTCATTCTGTCTTAGTCTTCCAGGGTTCCTGTTGTAAGCTTCTGAGTGCTGGGGAGTCCCCTCTGCCATCATCTCCCCTAGATTTCCATAGTTTTTGACAGGTGTGGCCTGCTTCTTGGGGGACAGATGTGGCACCCTGGAAACTGCCTTTTGACGTATGTGTGATAACATGAATTATGCAGCGTGCCCTGTGCGCTGGCTGGTGCAGCTTGCTTTGCTTGTGGCATTCTGTCTGTGGCGTGTTCACCGGTATTTAAGGGAATTCCCACTGTTGTATGCAATCTATCAGACAGGGTTTGAGAGTCATTTTAGCATAATTTGTTCTAATTAAAAGATTCTACGTCAGGCCTTCCCTGTGGAACCACCAGCTGCTGCAGCAGGATGCTTGCTTTGGCTACACACTGTCTTACTTCTGGACGTTCCACGGTGCTCCAGCAGACAGGGCCAAGCAAATGCTTCTGAGAAAGACTGCCCAAAAGCAAGAGATAAGTGGGATCAGGAAAGGTGATCTGAACCAAAGGGTTTCTGACAAACAGTTCCCAGGAGTTAGCTAGAAGGGCAGGAGCCCAGGCCGTTGCCAAACACTAGGGTACCGTGTACCTCCCTCTGGTTAGTGCCATCCCACCTTTAATGCACAGATCCAGCAGGGACCAGCCCCAGCCTCCACCATTTTTAAGGAAGACAGGAGCACAGAATGCTGTGGGAATTTAAGGAAAATGTGTAAGTGCATTCTAAGGCCGATCATCGTCAAACATTCCCCTTCTGTGCTTCAGGCTTCATGGTAGGTAGTAACCAAGGAGACAAGGGGGGGGGGGGGGAGCTTTCCATCTTGTTTTCCCCTCTTTCTATAATCACTTTACTCACCACCTAACTCACCCCCCCCACACACACACACACACTGGTCTGTATGTCAGGGTTCCCGGCAGCTTGCCCCACGGCAGCAGTGCAGGCAGAGCCCAGAAGCATTGGATTGGCCTCCACCAGCATAGTAAAAGGCTTATCTTCTTGCCCAGTCTTATCTTCTTGCCCAGTCCTGGAAGTCGTTTTCTCTGCCCTCTCGTCCACCCTAAATTAAGATTTCAGCTTCAGAGAACTTTTCAATCTTTCGCCTTTGACACACAGGTACCCCTGGGGCTCCTGCCTCTAAGCAGCTGCAAGCAACTCCTAATTAGATAGATGACCATGCGGTAGGTAAACCTGGGAGAAGGAGGCGCTGGCTAAATGAAGAGGAGCCCATTCTGTGAGATGGAATGCCCCACTGCTTTATGACTATTGGTGTTGTAGGGCTTTACATTTCAATACCTGAGGTTTAAAATTAAACGTCTAATATAATTTGGCATTGCTAACGTGAGCCCGGCATCTGCCCTCAGAGAAAAATCCAGACAGCTCTGTTCAGGGTTTCAAATTGCTGTCTGCTGGCTTGCGAGCAACACCGGGGATTGGATCCCTCTTCCACTAAGTACCACACGCTGCGCCGTGTAATTTTTTAAACGCCGAGTATATTCGTCTTGCACTTCTGCACTGAAAAAGGCTGTTCCAGTAGTACATGAAAAATTAATTTTTTTACATTTTTCCTCACTCTCCTAAGTGTTTGACAGAAGTAATTTTTGCAGCAAGAGAGAATAAAAAACTGGTGGCTGTAAATTCCTGTCCTGGAACCTCTTGTGTAGATTCTTTATGGACCCAGAATTGATCTACATGTCAGGTCCTGTTGTGGTCTCAACTGTTTATCACCGTAATGGCAGTAGTGAGCCCTGGAACACCAACTTATAATCCTGGGTGAAAGAAATTGGTGTTTGCAGTCAATGAAGAGGAGCTTAGCATTATTGATAGATTCAGAACAATTATCTCTGCAGCAACTATTGGCTGAGCGTTTCCTCAACCCTTACTGGAAGCCCGTAATTTTTTATTTTTTATTAATCATCTTCTTACGAGTAATTTTCTCTGGAAGTGTTAGTCAGGAGTGAGCGTTACTGCTTCGAGCAGGGGGCCCTGGAGGGCCATCGATAGCAAACTTGGTTGTCATAGCACCCTTCAAGGCAAGATGCTTGTTTTAGATGCATCACCTCTGTGCCAAGGGCAAGAAGCAATGTCAGGGCCTCTTATGCATCAGTCTTCCGGTGTTCTGGAATGTCTGGTCCAGTCTGCCACTCCCCCACCACCACAAACACCCATGCGCACACCACCCCTTGGAAGTGCCAGGCTTGGCTAATGGCCTCAGCTGTGGCCGTGCTGTGGTAGCAACACCCTCCCCCTCCTCCCGACCGCAAGGTTGTTCTGAGAGCTTCACCCTTCCACAGATTGCTTCAGTCCAACAGTTTATCTTCTGCCTCAGTGACTGGCTGCCATGGTGAATACATTTTTTCATATGACTTTTCAGCACTCTGCAGTCTCCCAGGTTCATGCAGCTTTGGCACAAACACCATTTGGTTTTTTTATGTTTTTACAGGGAAGTTGTATCTGACATCTGTGTGCCTCTACTTGACCTGAGTGGGGGGGGGGG